ACAGCTGGATGGCAGTGAGGTGGCATTAATAGAGGAGAAGTGACTGGGAAAAACGTTTTCTCCTTGCTCAGTCCTTCATCCTATTCAAAATGCATCTGTGTCACTCTGTCCCCCAGGCCAGTCACAGCTAATTGGAGCTTCTGATGGCTTTCCTGACCTTTTGGAAGCAACTGTTAAAGGCCAGCTGTTGGGGAAAGCCAATGCAGCATCTCTGGCCTAGGATTATTTCGCGGCTGCGTTCCAGCAGATGATCCGATTGCCAGTTTACCAATGGCAGATTGATTTTTAGAGGGTACGTAACCCATGCTGCATGCGGGACTGTCAAAGGGCTCCTGGAGACCAAGTGGGAGACACAGCTGCCTTCCGGCAGAGCCGAAACCCGGCTCTAGAAACAGTGCAGCCCCTCCATACACTGGAAGAAGGTCGCTGAGCGAAGCTTGCCTGTAGCAGGAGGTCAGCCGCTGTGCGCTACCCAGTTGTGAACCAGCCCCAACGTACGGTGGCCCCCCAAAAGAGAGGCAGACAGCTCGGGGTGTCTGTGTCCGGGCTGCTGAGGAGCTTTCCCTCGACCTGAGCTCCACAACAAGCCAGCTCAGCTGACTCCGCCATCCCCACTCAGCATTCGGTGTGAAGCCAGCAAGAGCGAGGCTGCCGGCGTGCGACAGCCAGCCCGCAAGGCGTCTGAATCAGCCCCACGCCTGCGCTGCCGGGGGGGGCTGAGTCTGACACTGAGTCACCGCTCGCACTGCATCCATTCCCACCACCCCCGGCACGGCAAGCACACCCCGCCGGCTGTGCTTACCGCTGGGGAAGGGCCTCTTTCACCGCTGCGTCCCCTTCGCCCGGGCTGCAGGAGTCTCACCCAGCCAGAGGTAACGCGCCAAGCCAGTTCCCATAGTCGGGTTTGCTAAGCATGTATTTAAACACCAGAGAAGCGCTGTAATTCACTATCAATAAGCCAAGTCAACACCGTTAATGCATGCTCCTTCCCACCCACTCTACATACACATCCGTCACCTACACTAGAAAGGCTTTATTAAATGATATACAACAAATGGGGTCATGTAGTCAATTCCCAGTTTATGTCATTTAACACTCAGATTAGGCTGAAAGGTAAATGATACTAAAACTTCTAAAAAAAAAGAAATCACACCTCGCTTCGCAGGAAGAAGCCGATCTTTCAGAAATCCACTCACACAGCCAACTTACACTGCTACCTAGGCATGTCTAGCAAGCCTTCTTCAGCTGAACCTGTTTTGATCTGGAAATAGAAGATTTCTGCTCTTTTTGATTCACACCAAAGCCCAGAGAGACCAAAAAAGAAGAGTTACATGGGAACTGGTGACCTTTGGCTGATGCCTCCTACCAGCAGTACGCTGATCCAAGAAATGGAGCAACCGTAAACACTGCGTTTACTGGAGAGTTTGTAAGTGCAGGAGAAATTCTTCCTGAGGATGGTTATGCCCCAGCCGAGATCGCATTCGCATTGAAGCTCAGTCTACCCAGCAATTGAGGAAGCTCTCATGTCACTGCAGAAGCACCCTGAACATGCCAGCTGTTCTGCAGGTGTCCTGGCCTTTGTGCTGTCACCTCTACTCCAGGCAGGCTAGTGGGGACATCGGCAAGCAATCCCGAGTGCTGGCTAACACTGCTGATCCCCCTGCCACCTGCAGGGACTTGCCACGCTCCCTTGCACTTCAAAAGGCTGATGCTAAGAGTGCATTAGGACAGCATATTGCAGGCTCATCAAGGGGCCGAGTCTCTGCAATGGGCTTTAAGTAAGTTAAAAAAAAAGCGTGCCGAATGAGGAATCTATTTAGCTTCAGATATAATGGAATTTGTCTGTAACGGGAGATTGGGCAGAACGAGGCCAGCCGGCCGTTTGGGAATATGGTTAATGTCATCACTGTAACCCAGGCGGTGCAAAGGGCCAACACCGTGGTCCTGGATATCTGTCAGCGTGCCCAGGCAGGGGTCACTGCCCCAAAGGGATGTCAGAAACACGAACGCACTTTAGGACCTGAGCGTAGCCCACTGCAGCCCTGGCCATGCCACGCAGCCCTGGCCATGCCACCCCCCCCACGGAGGGGGTCTCTCGCCCCCGGGAGGCAAGGAGAACACCTGGCTGCTGCTAAACACCCCAGCCCCCGCCAGCCTCATCAGCCCAGCTCCCCAAACTGCCGGTGGTGCGACCCTACGCGTCCTCCTCCCAGCGAAGCTCCTCCGCGGAGTCCCAGAGAGGGAAGAAAACTCATTAGCCCGGCCGCTTGACTAAGAAGAAGACCCGCAAACTGCCGGGGAGGGGGGAGGTGTCCACCGAGGTCCCCGGGCGGG